TTATTTTTAAAGAAGGACAAAATAAAGGTGCATGCTACCTCAAATTAAGATTGAATATCTCAGGACAATGTAATAACATTTGATTATTTTCTTCTTCTTTGTGCTTTTATGCACTTGACAAATTTAATAAGTGAAAATGTGGTACTTCTATAATCAGAAAATAAGTACATTCTAAGAAAGCATAAGAAGGAATTAGCTTTACCTTAATTAGACAATGTCTAATGAGGCACTGAAGAAAAAAAGTTGTACTTTTGTGTCATTCATATGCATGCATATACCAAAATATATTTATAGAGTTAAAAATCAGTCATTGAAAACAGCAAGTACAGCCGAAACCAGTTTGGCTAAGTGGTAGAGCGTTGGTTTGTGGACTGAAAGATTCCAGGTTCGATTCCGGTCAAGGGCATGTACATTGGTTTCGGGCACATCCCCAATAGGGGGTGTGCAAGAGGCAGCTGGTCGATGTTTCTCTCTCATCGACATTTCTAGCTCTCTATCTCTCTCCCTTCCTTCTCTCTGTAAAATATCAATAAAATATTTTTTTTAAAAAGAAAGAAAAGAAAACAGCAAGTATTATACAACAAAAACTAAAATCAAAACAGTTAAAATCCTGGACTCTTTCAAATGGGACAAAGTTCTGAAAACAATGAGAAGAATTTGCTAACAAATATATCATTATGACTGTCTAATGCTTTCATCATCAAGAGTCTGATGACATCACCATTACCAGAAGATTCAAACACCAGGAGAATATTAGATTATATGTTATTTTTTTTACGAAGACCCAAAATTATAATGCTAGGGAAACATTCTAAGACTTTATCTTTACATCACCAAAACTAAAGGTAAGGCTCTTAAGAAGGGATTATATAAACATTTAGATGACCTGGGAAAATCATAGAGATCATCCTCAAACCTTGTCCTTAAAGTACATAGTAGGTGACATATAAAAGTGTTTCTGGCTTTAAGAATATTGTCATTGAGAACACATTATAAGAAGACAATCTGGTTAAACAGAATCTTACTTCATACATAGGGTATTTCTAATGTACTTGAATTTAAAAGTTGGTCATTTCACATTTGTAGCTTTAAATATTCTGATAACTGTATTGCAAAAATGTAACAAGGAATAGACGACCTTTATTTTTCTGAATTTTAAATTACCTTTTTCAGCTTAAAATTTATTTTTTAAAATGCTTTTTTTTCCAATTAAAGTTGACATTCAACATTTGTTTCACATGTACATTATAATGGTTAGATATTTATATAACTTACAAAGAGATCACTCCAATAAGTTTAGAACCTGCCTGGCCCCATACCAATGTATTACACTAGAGGCCTGGTGCACACAATTCATGCAGGGGGGTAGGGTCCTTCAGCCCAGCCTGCACCCGCTCACAATCCAGGACCCCTTGGGGAATGTGTGAATGCCAATTTAGGTGGGATCAGGCCTAAATTGGCAGTTGGACATACTTCTTGCAATCTGGAACCCCTGGTTTCTAACCGTTTGCCTGCCTATCTGCCTGCCTGATAGCCCCTAACTACTTGCCTGCCTGCCTCATTGCAGCTAACCCCTCTGCCTGCCTGCTTCATTGCACCTAACCAGTTGCCTGCCTGCCTCAACATCCCTAATCACTCACCAGCATTCCTGATTGCCCCTAACTGCTCACCTGCCTGCCTGATCGCTCCTAACCACCTCTGCCTCAGCCCCTGCCATCACAGCTTCTTTGGGAAGGACATCCAGAATGATGTCCAGAAGGTCATTCGACTATCCGATCTAATTAGCATTTATGCTTTTATTATTATAGATTAATGACTGTATTCCCTATGCTGTATTTTATATTCCTGTGATTATTTTGTAACTGCCAATTTGTATTTTTTAATCTGTTCACCTTTTTCACCCAGCTCCCCAACCATCTGGCAACCATCAGTTTGTTCTCTGTATCTATTATTATTATTATTATTTTTTATTATTATTATTATTATTATTATTTTGCTTTGTTTCTTAGATTCCACCTATAAGTGTAATCATATGGTACTTGTTTTCTCTGAGTTATTTCACTTATCATAATACTCCCTAGGTACATCTGTGTTGATGCAAATGCCTAAGTAATATTTCATTGTATATATGTACCACATTTCTTTATCCATGTCTAACAATAAACAGTTAGGTTGGACCTTCAATATCTTGGCTATTGTATATGAAATATCCTTTCCTGTTTCTGGCTATAATCTTTAAAGTCTATTTTGTCTGATAAAAGTATTACTACCCCAGTTTTTTTTTTCTTTTTTTATTTTAGTAATGTTTAATTTTTTTCAATTATTGCTGATATACAATATTACTTTAGTTTCAGGTGTACAACCCAGTGACTAGACATTTATATAATTTTTAAAGTGATCATCCCAATCAATTTAATACCCATCTGACACCAAAGTTATTATCCTTTCACCTTTTTCACCTACCCCCTAACCCCCTATCTGGCAACCATCAAAATGTTCATTATTTACAACTAGAGGCTCAGTAGGGTCCCTAGGCCTGGCTAGTGATCAGAGACAATTGGGGCCTTCTGATTGCTGGCTGGGATTTCCTTCCCCAGCTACTGGCTGCCAGATGGAGCCTTCCTTCATTCCTCATGACTCTGGTGGTCAGTGCATGTCACAGTGAGCGATTGAACTTCCAATCTCCCAGTCAAACTCCCATGGGGACAATTTGCATAATATATATATATATATATATATATATATATACACACACACACACACACACACACACACACACACACACACACACACACACATATATATATACACACACACACTAGAGGCCCAGTGCACAAAATTCATTGGCGGGGGGGAATGTCCCTCAGCCCAGCCTGTACCCTCTCCAATCTGGGACCTCTCTCACAATCCAGGATGGCTGGCTCCTAACCACTCACCTGCCTGCCTGCCTGATTGCCCCCTAACCACCCCCTGCCAGCCTGATCGACACCTAACTGCTCCTCTGCAGGCCTGGTCACTCCCAACTGCCCTTCACTGCCGGCATGGTCACCCCTAACTGCCCTACCCTGCCAGCCTGGTCGCCTCTAACTGCCCTCCCCTGTTGGTCTGATTGTCCCCAATTGCCCTCCACTGCCAGCCTGGTCACCCCCAACTGCCCTCCACTGCAGGCCATCTTGTGGTGGCCACCTTGTGACTACATGGGGGCGGCCATCTTGTGTGAGGGTGTGATGGTCAATTTGCATATTACCTCTTTATTATATAGGGTAGAATAGCCAAGATATGGCAGCAACACAGATTTTTTTTTTTACATTTACATTTGCATGAATTATCTTATTCCATCCCTTTATTTTCAGACTATATCTTTTGAATATATGTATGGGTTTTGTTTTCTTCTCTATTCAGCCATTCTATGTCTTTTTGAGTGAAGCATTTAATCCATTTACATTTATAACAATTATTGATAGGCATGAAGTTATATCAATTTTATTATTCATATTTTTAACCTTTTTTTTTTTCTTCTTAAAAAAATCCCTTTGACATTTCTTGCAATAATGGTTTAGTGGTAACAAACTCCTTTAGTTTTTTATCATCTGGGACAGATAATATTTATTTTCATTTAACCTACTATATCTCTCAGTTCAATTCCCGGTCAGGGAATATGCCTGAATTGTGGGCTTGATCCCCAATGTGAGGAATGAAGGAGGCAGCTGGTCAATGATTCTCTCTCATCATTGATGTTTCTATCTCTCTCTCCCTCTCCCTTTTCTGAAGTCAAATTAAAAAAAACCAAAAAACACACTATATCTGAAATTTCATTTCAACATGTAGCAAATATAAACAATATTAATAAGTTATCTTACTTTTTTTTCATACTGAGACTTCAAACTCCACTGTTTGGACTAGCAACATTTCAAGTATTCATTAGTCACTTGTTGCTAGTGACCACAATATGGGAAGGTATAGATCTAAAATAGCTTGCTCATTAATTATGTGTTAAAAAATAAGCATATGAGACCTCTATTTATTTCAATACATAATTCAAAAGCAGGGCCTGTTCTTGGATGCTGCCTACTAAAAACCCAGTTTATGCTTGTAAATAGAAATCTTAACACTTTGAACACAAGTTCAGTGCATTGGCTGGAACCAATATTCCATTTTATTTATTTATTTATTTTTTATCCTCACCTGAGGATATTTTTCCATTGATTTTTACAGAGAGTGGAAGAGAGAAGGAAAGACAGAGAGAAGTATCGATGTCAGAGAAACATATCTATTGGTTGCCTTGTGTACATGCTCCGACCAGCTCCAGGCCAGGGAAGAGCCTGCAACTGAGGTACGTGTCCTTGACTGAACTGAACCTGAGGCCCCTCAATCCGCAGGCCCCTGATGCTCTATCCATTGAGCCAAACTGGTTAGGGTGCCAATATTCTATTTTAGAGTATAATGCCTTTAATTTAGACTTTTAATTACTATTTACAAAGATACACCTTTAAGACAAGCTCATATAATTTTAGGTTACTAGTTGTATAGTCTTTGAGTAAATTATTAGTCTTGGAATAAATATATTAGGAACAAATATGTAAACATCAACTTTGGGGAAAGAATACATTCCAATGCATAAGGATGTCCTCATGGGTATCTCCTTTTATCTTCACAGAAGCACAAGTAAATAGAACTTGTTTTTATTAAATTCCCTTAATGCAATCATGGTGGACTTTGATAAAGGTACACAAAATGAATGTCACCAACACTTTGTACCTAACCTAAAAAGAATCAGTTGGCATCTAAGGGAGATTTCTGCAGGCACTTCAAACAGTATAGGTGGTTTACGTAATTCAAGTCTGCCTTCTTCCTACAGCTGAGCAGCCTAGAATCAAACACTTGGGTTGGTAGCCAAATTTTCATAAATTAACATGTTATTAGAAGATGGCAAGAAAGTTTTTTATTTTCCAAAAACACCAGCTCTTTTTCTCTCTCTTTTTATTCCCCTCCAGCAGAGAATGAATTCTAAATGGAAAATACTGTTATTGGTTTCATTTGCTTTATCACTGACATTGATTAAACATCATTTCCGGTAAATATAAAAAATTAATTAATCTTTATCTTTAGTGATTAGTAAAGTTTATCTAAAATACTGAGTTTTGTCTAAAAAGTATTAATAAACAGTCCCTAAATTAATTAAAAATTATCTTCTTTTTGGGAAATAAATCAAATCATAAATATACTAATCTTTTCATTTTTCAATATTCAATAAATATTTATTGAGTGTCTTCTTGGTATCAGGCCCTGTACTAGGTACCAAGAATTAACTCAAACCAAGTGACTGCTCCTAGAAACTTTACAGTCAAGGTGAAGAAAATAGATAATAAGCAAAGAAATATGTAATATATTATCAGGAGCATTGTATTATCTCTACAATAAAAGCCTAAGTGACCATAATGGTGGAACATCTGGAAAGACTGGTCGCTATGATGCACACTGACCACCAGGGGCAGATGCTTAACACAGAAGTTTACCCCTAGTGGTCAGTGAGCTCCCACAGAAGGAGTGTTGTTCAACCAGAAGCTGGGCTCACAGCTGGCAAGTGCAGTGGTGGTGTGGGAGCCTCCCCACCTCTACAGCAGTGCTAAAGAGCAGCGAGCTAAGTGGTAAGGAGCAAGGGGTCCTGGATTGCAAGCCTGGAGTTAGACATCCCCCAAGGGGTCCCGAACTGCGAGAGGGAGCAGGCCAGATTGAGGGAACCCCTCTCCCCCTCGCAGGGCTACCCCATGCACTAATTTCATGCACTGGGCTGCTAGTATATAATAAAGCTATGAAGAAAGAAGGCAAGATAATAGAATAGAAAGTGTTAGGGGCTATTTTAGATGTATTTTAAATTACATCAACGTTCCATCTAATAGGAACAAGATTCAAAGTTGACCTGCTGTAGAAACACAGTTGTACTGGAGAACAAATTTGCTAACCTGCTAGAATTTTCTTACATTAATAAGTTCAAATTCTTATCTCAGCCGTACAGTCCTCTTTATGTTTTATTTTTTTAATAAGCAATGCATTGTTACTGAATGCTATTTGAAAATTAGCTATATTGTGGTAGCTAATGTTTTAAAATTAGACCCTTTGCTTTGGTATCTCGTTCCACATGTTATTTGCCTTTTGGGGGAATATGCCTTAATAGAAAGGACCAATGTCATGTCAGAGCTGGATGCTATATATTTCATATATTCTGTAGCATTCTGGCTGACATATAGTAGGTGTTTAGTAATTATCTGGCTAATTAAGTGAGTAAATGAATGAATTTGAATTCTATATTTTCTGATATTCTAATTGCAGTAAAGATTTGTTCAAATTTAACACTAAATGCATTTTTTCCCCATTTATAAAGAATAAAGAAGAACCTACAGAAGATAAGTCTCTGCTGGTAAGAATCTGTGTTTCATAAATATTCTACAAACTGTATTGAGAACAAACTGATTGGAGTCAAGTGGGTCCTAATGCCGATGGCAATCAAAAAGTACAGAAAAATAACTAAATTCTATAGAGGCAATCACTGAGACATTTCTTAGATATCAGTTCATAAATATTCTACACACACATAACTGTATATGTGTGTATGTGTGTATCTCCAAATTTTTCTCACTTCACACATTCACATGCTTACACACCAGACAAGTTTTTGACATTTGCTATAGTTTAAATATCTTTTTCCAGGATGATATAATTGATAGCCCTCATTAGTCAACCACATTTTCTTCTATTGACCATTGTGTAGGACCTGAGAAATTAGTGAAATTTAATCAAAATTAGTAAAAAAATATGAATTTTAAAATTCATATTTTAAAATTCTTCATTTGTCATAGTATATTTTTAATGGAGTTCAGCATGAATTATTAGATTTTGAATAAGCTTGAGGCCTGGGAAATCCTAAAATAAAATATCTTTGGCTAAAAATGCCTCTGAAATGTCAAAAAGGGATGCACTTCTAACAGTTTTTACAAATATTTGATTTTTAAATAGTTATTGATTTACAAGAAGTTGCAAAAATATTAAGTACAAAGAGGTGACATGTACCTTTCATCAAAGTGTCTCCAATGTTACATCTTATATAACTGTACAATATCAAAACGGGAAATTGGTGATGGAACAATGTAGTATATAATTATATGAGATTTTGTCACATGTGTAGATATGAATAACCACCAAAGCAGTCAAAATATAAAACTATTCCCTAGCCATGAAGACTTCCTCTGAGCCACCACTTATACTCATACCCAACCTCTTTTTCCTCATCTTCCCTAAACTTTAGTACTACTAATCTAGTTTATCTCTATAGTTTTGTCACTTTTAAAATGTTTATAAATGGAATCATACAGCATATGATTTATTTATTGAGATAAGTATTTTCCACTCAGCATAATGCCCTTGAGGTCCAGCCATGTTTTTGTGAATATCAATAGGTTATATACTTTTTTAAAAATCCTCACCCACGGATATTTTTCCACTAATCTTTTAGAGAGAGTGGAAAAGAGAGGGAAAGACAGAGAGAAACATCGATGTGAAAGAAATACATTGATTGGTTGCCTTCTGCATGAGCCCCGATCAAGGCCCTTCAACCGAGATATGTGCCCTTAACCGGAATTGAACCCAGGACCCTTTGTCCACAGGCCGACACTCTATCCACTGAATCAAAATGGCTAAGGCAGTCATACCTTTTTATTGGCATTAGTTTAAATATCTTTTTTGATATTTAGGGTAATATTCCACAAAGGGATGTACCAAAGTTTATTTAACTATTCATCTGAGACAGTTTGGTTGACAGTTCTTTTCTTACAGTGGAAATTATTGCTCCACTTCCTTTTGGGTCCATGATTTCTGTTGAGAAACCCGCTTTCATTCAAATTAGTTTTCCCCAATAGGTGAATCATTTCTCTCTTTGACTGCTTTCAACATTTTTTCTTTAACTTTCAGAAATTTAACTATCATGTGCTTTAGGTTTACCCTGTTTGTTCACTCAGTTTTTTTTCAATCTGTATGTTAATCTCTTTTGTCAAATTATGGTGAATGTTCAGCCATTTTCTTAAATCATTTTTTCAGTTCCATCCTTTTTTTCAGTTTCCCTCCTTCTGGTATTCCAAATGCATGGTCTTTTGTTATAGTCCCGTATTTCCCTGAGACTGATTTTTTTTTTCATTCTTTTTCTCTGTTGTTCAGACTGAGTTTTTTCTATTATTTTATCTTTAGGTTCATTGATTCTATCCTCCATTCTCTCCATTATGCTATTATTCAGCCTACCCATTGAGTTTTTATTTCAGTTATTATATTTTTAAGTTTTAAATTTATATTTGGTTCTTTATATCTTCTATATCTTTGATAAGACTTTCTGTATCTCTGTTATCATTTTCTTTTCTTTTTATCATTTATTTCAAGTGTTTGTAATTGCACAATGAAGCATTTTTATAATTGTTGCTTTAAAATCCTTGTCAGATAATTCTAACTGTGTTATCATGGCATCTGCAGACTGTCCTTTCTCATTCAGAGATCTTCTTGATTCTTAGTATGAAAACTTCCTGATTCTTGGGATACTAAGTGATTTTTATTGAAACCTGGACATTTTGGGTATTATGAGGTTCTGTATCTCACTTAAATCTTGCATTTTCATAGGCATCCTCTTATATTGCTCAAGCTAGGACATGGGTAGCACCTGCTCATTACTGTCATTTGAGGGGTGAAATTTGAAGTTCTTATCTCTGCCTCCATTGAAACCTGCAGGGGAGGATCTCCTTGTTACTAATAGTGGGGATGGAAGTTCAGGCTCCCTACATGGTCTTCACTGACACCAACAGCAGGAGGGTGACCACAATTGCTGAGCAGTGATGAGAGTTTTAACCCCCACTAACTTCCTCTAACTCTATACCAGTGAGGAGAGTAGGGAGCCTCATTACAGTCTGTAGAGGATGGGAATCTGAGCTCTCCACTTGCCTTGGCTAAAAGGATGGACAGTTTTTCTGTGGTATTGTGCTGGAGTACAGTGTGTAGTGTTTAAATGTTCTATCCTGCCTAACTTGCCTTTTTCCTGGTCCTTTAACTGTAAATAGCAGGCTTTTTGGGGGGCTCTTTTTTTTAAAATATATTTTATTGGTTTTTTACAGAGAGGAAGGGAGAGAGATAGAGAGCTAGAAACGTCGATGAGAGAGAAACATCGACCAGCTGCCTCCTACACATCCCCCACCGGGGATGTGCCCACAACCAATGTACATGCCCTTGACGGGAATCGAACCCGGGACCTTTCAGTCCGCAGACCGATGCTCCACCACTGAGCCAAACTGGCTTCGGCTGGGGGGCTCTTTTTGTGTCTGTGCCCAGTGGCATTTCTGGGCTGTTGGCTTTTCTCTACATGTGGCAGAAAACCCAAGGAATTCACTGTCATGTCAATCTTTGAGTCCCAAGGTGCCCGCCTGATCTGCCTTCTCTTCTCCTTTCAGAGACTGTATATATGAATGTTCAGGGGTTTCAGCTATACTTAGTGATAGGGAAAAGTAGTACTATTTCGTCTTTCTGGAAGCAGAAGTTGCTTAAAGTTATTTTACAAAATATCCCTGGTTTATAAAAGGGGAATTCCCTCATGACCTTGATAATTAAATAATTAGCTTAAAAGTACAACAAACCCTTAGGTGGGTCCTCTTTGAATGAAAATCAATGATGAATATCTGAGCCCTTACTTCAACTCCTGCATTTCAACACATAACAGAGTATCTATTACATAGGAAGTTACTAATTTTTGATAAATGAATGAATTAAATCTGCATTTTTGCCTGAATATACATTATTCTTTCTGCTCTGTTAATTTTTAAAATATGTTTTTATTTATTTCAGAGAGAGGAAGGGAAAGGGAGAGAGACAGAAACATCAATGATAAAAAAGAGTCATTGGTTGGCTGCTTCCTGCAACCTAGGCATGTCCCCTGAACAGTGACCTCCTGGTTCATAGGCCAATGCTCCACTGAGCAACACCAGTCAAGCTGCTCTGTTAATTTTTAAAATATATCCCCATTCATGAACCATACTGTTCCTTGCCTTTCTGCCTTTGGTCATGACCTCTTCACCCTATACCTCTTTAGTCCTTATCCTTCTAGACCCAGCTTACATATTTCTTTTCCAGCTGGTTTCCCTTAAGCTCAAATTTAGGTTAAAGGCCCTATTTATATGCTCCCCTGGAGATCTGTATTTCCCTATGAGCTCTTATTACTCTGTACTATGATTATCTACTTAATCTTGTCTTTCCCACTAGTTTATCAGCTTCTTTTTATGGCAGGAGCTGATGTAAATGTTCAATTACCAAAACAGCACCAAACAGTGCCTGTCATATTATAGAGATGCAACATATGTTTGCTGCATAAGTGCGTTACTCTTAACTTGATTTTCTCTTTGTACCCAGGGATCATGAAGCAGAAGAACCTCAGCTATCAGACTGGTTTACTCCTAAGTAAGAACAAAAAATTCTTCTCACAATATAACAATAATAGTATAACTCAATTTTAACAGAGGAAATTTTTTCCCCCCATCATCAAATTGTAGCTATTCTGAGAGGCTCCCAGGACTTAGAGTTCTTATCTTTAAGACTTTCATGTACAAAATGAGGGTATATTTATAAAGAGTCAGGCATTTAAGGGTCAGAATGAGAAAGCTATTATCTGGTTTAACATTCCTGGTTTTATTAGAGGAAAGAAAAATGATCTCTCTTGTCTTTTTGTTTAAAATAAAATGATCTCTTCAATATTGAGATATCTGGAGAAAAGTTCAGTTTTTTGTTCTAATTAAGAAGAAAAAAAATAGCCCTGGCTGTTTGGGATAGAGCATCAGCCTGCGGACTAGGGGTCCCGGGATTGATTCTGGCCAAAGGCACATACTGGGTTGTGGGCTCAGTCCCCAGTGGGGGGCATGCAGGAGGTAGCCGATCAATGGTTCTCTCTCATCATTGATGTTTTTATGTCTCTCTACCTCTCCCTTCCTCTCTGAAATCAATAAAAATATATTTTAAAAATAAAAAACTATAAGCTTAAAGTAAATATAAAAGAATAAATATCTCAGAACAGCCAAATAAATTGTGAAAAATAAATTTGCCTTAACAAATATGAAAACATGTTCTAACATCACTGTGATCAAATCAACATGGAATAGATCAGAATAGTAAATCCAGAATTAAAGCACAAGGATACTATGTAAAAATTTATCCTATCTAATAAAGGGGGAATATGCTAATTGACCCTCACACTATTGCAAAGATGGCAGCACCCACAGCCAATACAGAGGAAATGTGCTAATTGACCACCACACCCTCAAAGATGGCAGTGCCCATAGCCACAAGATGGTGGCATCCAGTCCCCTTAGCCCTGCCAGGATGGCAGGCATGCAGCAATGCCTGCCTAGGCGGCCCTGGCCACTCTGTGTGCCTGCCTCTGGCAGCTGCCCAGCCGCCCAAGGCCACCTGAGACTCAGGTAAACAAAGCCGGCCGAGGCTTGTGCTGCTGGCAGTGGGAGCAGCAGACATGTGATGGGGCATCACCTTCCCCTGATTGCCTCCCACCCCTGAGGGATCCCAGACTCTGAGAGAGGGCAGGCTGGGCTGAGGGACCCCCCCTCCAGTGTATGAATTTTCATGCACCTGGTCTCTAGTATAAGACTTGGCAAGGGTTAAATGAGTAATGCACAGTACTAAATAATGTTGCCTGGCACATAGTATAATAAGTAATCATAATCATTAGCATATTCACTTGGACAATAACTTCTGCTGTCATAATTAAGTGGTACCTGATTAACTTGTTTCTTGTTTGTTCAACAGAAAACGTCCTGATGTAATAACAACAACTGACTGGCTCGCTCCAGTCATATGGGAAGAAACTTATAATAGACAAGTCCTGGAAAAATATTATAAAAGAATGAACATTACCATAGGCTTGGTTGCATGGTCTACTAGAAAGTAAGTGCTACTAATTCATCTTTTTATTTTTATTTTGGAAAAGTGTAGTTAAGCACCCAAGGATTTTCTACACTGAAAGAGCAACTCATAATTAACCCCAATCATTATTTCTGGCTGGCCTGTATGTCTATTTATCTACAGTACCTATTTTCTCCAACTGTGGCTGAGTCGTTGACACTACTTGGGAATCTTTTCATTAATATTCAGTTAGCTCTCTTTTTCTTTTTTCACAACAAACTTTGTGGTTCTTCTCAGGTCCCGAAATCACTACAGTCTCTTTCATTAACTAATAGACTTAAGATACAGACCCAACTTCTCTATCCTTACCTACTGGCAGTTCTTTAGCAATAATAACATAAATAATGACAGCATGTTTAAATAATGTTATCTACTGATGATTTTTAGCAAAATAAGTTTTTCCTGTGTGAGTGTGTGTGTTTTTTTTCATATCTTACAGGTTTACAGGACACTACCTGAAACAGTTCATCCAATCTGCTAATAAGCACTTTATGATTGGCTACAATGTTATCTTTTACATCTTGATGGATGAGTACATGCTACTACCTCCCATAGAGTTAGGTCCCCTTCGAACATTTAAAATATTGCCTATATTACGAGATAAGTTCTGGGAAGACTTTAATGTCCTGTACATGAAGAACTTAAATGTGTACATCATAGAACACATACAGCATGAAGTTGACTTTCTCTTCAGTATGAGTATAAACCAGATCTTTAAGAGTAACTTTGGAGTGGAAACCCTGGGCAAATCTGTAGCTCAACTTCATGGATGGTGGTATTTTGAGAATGTTAAAAAATTCCCTTTTGAGAGAAGACCTAAATCAGCAGCTTTCATCCCTTTTGGAGAGGGAGATTACTATTATAATAGTGCAATTTTTGGTGGCACACCTAAAGAGGTTTTAACCTTTACTGCAGAATATCAAAAAGGAATAATTCATGACACTGAAAATAAACTTAGCAGCACACATGAACGTCACATAAACAAGTATTTTTTTGTCAATAAGCCTACTAAGTTGTTATCACCAGAATACAATTGGGATCCAATTTTTAGAACTCCTCCACAAATTAAACATGTTAAGATAGCATGGCAGTCAATCGGGATTTGATTATTATAGCTTAAGATTTATGGGGTTAATAAGTGAGTCATAATAATTACTTAAAAATAAAATATTAAAATTTTCAGTGTTTTAGAAACTTACCAAAATGTGTGATCTTTCAAAATAATTTGTTTTCTCCTTATAATTTTAAATCTACCTATGCTGAATAAATAGATAATTAAATGATAGTGCACACATAAGGAACTGTTTGACATTGAAATTGGGACTCAAAAGAACTGTTGGCCCAGAAAGAAACTCACTACAGCCGAAACTGGTTTGGCTCAGTAGTAGAGCATTGGTCTGCAGACTGAAAGGTCCCAGGTTCAATTCCGGTCAAGGGCATGTACATTGGTTGCGGGCACATCCCCGGTAGGGGGTGTGCAAGAGGCAATTGGTCAATGTTTCTCTCTCATCGATGTTTCTAGCTCTCTATCCCTCTCTCCTCCTCTCTGTAAAAAAATCAATAAAATATATCTTTAAAAAAAAAGAAACTCACTACAGACTGATTCATTTGCCTCTCAGCATAACCATTATTGCTTGTCTCATTTTCGGTTCTTATAAGTGTATTTCTTGTATCACATGATCTCACTCATCTAGGGGAAATAATGAACATCATAAACTGATAAACAAAAACAGACCCGGAGACAGGGAAGCATCAATCAGACTGTCAAACCTCAGAGAGGAGGTAGAGAGAAGGTGGGGGGAAGGGGAAGAGATCAACCAAAGGACTTGTATGCATGCATATAAGTCTAACCAGTGGTCACGGACAACAAGGGAGTGGGGGCATGCGTGGGAGGGGTGAGGGATGGGAATGAGGGGATGAGGACAAAAAAATGTGATACCTTAATAAATAAATAAATAAATAAATAAATAAATGTTAGTGCACAGTAATGTTATTATCTACCTATAGATAGATACCCACAAAATGTCAAAGGGCTATATGCAAGAAAAAAGATAAATATTAATTTACTCACTCATTAATTATTTACTGTTTTTCAGTGTTGTGATATATATTGCTATGACTAATCTCCTCAAATAGCATTTGATTTCTATATATTTAATTGAACATAGATGAACTAGGGACATTCTACCAAATATGCATCTTGCCTTACTATTACAGAGATATTGAGTTTATTTTGTTCATGCTACAGGAATTTTTTTTTTAAATAGATATCTCCTGAACTCCACGATATTCTTCTAGGTACAGTCAAGGAGGGATAGAAAAATGTGTAAGCTGAATGTAGAGAGTTATCTCCAATTTAATTCTGCCAATAACCATGTAAATGATGTTGGAAGCAGCTCTCCTCACCTGAGCCTTGAGATGAGACTATGACAAAGATGATGGGATGTTACAATCATGATTAGGTTGTATGAGATTGTGATTTCTGTCACACTAGCAGACTCTTTCTCACTGCCTTTGATGAAGCAAGTTGAAATGTTGGAGAGATTCTCATAGCAAGAATTGAAGACAGTGATCAGCCAACAGCCAGAAAAGAACCTGAATCCCCTCAGTCCAACAACCTTCCAGGAACTGAATATTGCCAACCATCCAAGTGACTTTGGAAGTAGATCTTTCCTCAGCTGAGCCTTTAGATAAAATCTCATCTTCAGTCAAAACTTTGATGGCAGCCTTGTGAGATTCCCAGAAATAGAAGATCCAGAGAAGCCACGTCCATATTCTTGACCCACAGAAACAGTCAGATAATAAATGTGTGTTGTTTCAAACTACTAAGATTTAAGTTAATTTGTTTACAACAATAAATATTACACATTTTATACCTGAAAGTGAGTAAAAAATACCTAAAATTGTGGGAGTGGTTTTGGAAGTAAGCAGTCAATGGATGGAAGCTGGAAGATTTTTTGCAGCATGATAGAGAAAGCCTAAATTTCTTTGAACAGATGGTTAGTAGACATCTGGGCCTGGAGGCGCTTCTCAAAAGCAAGTAAGGAACATATTATTGAAATCTGGAGACAAGGGATCTTTGTTAAATAATAGCAGAAAGCATGATGTTACCTCCTCCACTTTTATGGGAAACAGAATATGTATCTGTGATCTTGGTTATGTAGATAAGTTTCCAAGCTTTATTATTATTTTTAAATGTATTTTTATTGTTGAAGTATTACAAATGTCCCCTTTGTTTTTGTTTTTTCCCCATTGATCCCGCCTCCCTACACCAGCCCCTCCCAAGCCTTAGCCACACTATTGTCTGTGTCCTTGGGCTATGCATATATGTATATAAATTCCTCTGATAATCTCTCTCCCCTCACCTACCCTCACCCTTTCTCTGAAATTTATCAGTCTGTTCCATGGTTCTATGTCTCTGGATCTATTTTCTTCATCAGTTTATTTTGTTCATTAGACTCCATATATGAGTAAGATCATGTGATATTTATCTTTCTCTGACAGGCTTTTTTCACATATTATAATACTCTCTAGGTCAATCCATTCTGTTGCAATTGGTAAGCGTTCCTTCTTTTTCACCGTGGCATAGTATTCCATTATATAAATGTACCACAGCTTTTTTATCCATTCATCTGTTGATGGGCACTTGGGTTGTTTCCAAATCTTAGTTATTGTAAATTGCACTGATATGAACATAGGGGTGTATATATTCTTTCTGATTGGTGTTTTGGGTTTCTTAGGATATAATCCTACTGAAAGTGAGATCTCTGACCAAATGGGAATTCCAATTTTAATTTTTTGATGAAACTCCATACTTTTTTCTACAGTGGCTACACTAGTCTGCATTCCCACCAGCAGTGTACTAGGATTCCCTTTCTCCACATCCTCACCAACACTTGTCATTTGTTGGTTTGTTGATGACAGCCATTCTTTCAGGTGTGAGGTGATACCTCATTGTCATTTTAATTTGCATCTCTCAAATGATTAGTGACTTTGAACATTTTTCATGTCTCTTGGCCTTATTTTTTTAAGTATATTTTTATTGATTTCAGAGAAAAAGGGAGAGGGGGAGAGAAAAAAAAATCAATGATGAGAGTCATTGATCAGCTGCCTCCTGCTTGCCCACTATTAGGGATTGAGCCTGCAACCCAGGCATGTGCCCTGTTCAAGGAATCAAACTCAGGCCGAATGCCCATGCTCTATCCACTGAGCCATAAAGGCCAGGGCTCTTTGGGTCTTCTGTATGTCCACTTTGGAGAAGAGTCTATTTAGGTCCTTTGCCCCGCCCCACCTCGTGTTTTTTCCCCTCACTCGAGGATATTTCCCATTGATTTTTAGAGAGAGTGGAAAAGTGAGGGAGAGATAGAGAGAACTATTGATGTGAGAGAAATATATTGATTGGTTGCCTCCTGCATGTGCCTGACCCAGGTAGAGCCTGCAATCGATGTACATGCTCTTGATTGGAATTGAACCCGGGTACCAGTTGAACAAAGTGGACCAGAATAATGTTGTATAGGCTCTGTCATTGGAACCACATCCCCAAAAATAAGCCATGAACTATGCACTAAACATAAATAGGTGACTTCTGCTGAAATAAAAGATTTAAATAGGATCTAGGGTCTTAAAACTTAATATTCAAAATGTTAGAATTTAAAAAAGAATCACTCATAATGCCAAAACCCAGAAAAATTACAACCCAAAGAAGAAAAGGCAACCAACTGATGCTAATCTAGAGATAAATCAGATGCTAAAATGATCTGACAAGGATTTTAGAACAGCCATCACAAAAATATGTTATTATAAGCAATTCCATATTATCTTAAAACAAAATGAAAAAATAGAAAACTTCAGCAAAAATATTTATTGAGTAAATGAATAATGTTTAGCAAAAAAAAAAAAACCTCTGGAAGGACACATCTCATAGGCTACCATTTATAGAGGGTGGGGCAAAATAGGTTTACAGTTGTTTGTGTGGAAAATAATACAATAATTAATAAACAACAATATAAGAATGAACTCTGTGTTTCATATATTCACAACTGTCAACCTACTTTTGCCACACCTTGTATATTACTTTTGTAAAACCATGCCCCTGTTCAAAATTCTGTTATGATTTCCCATCTTACTCAGAATAAATGGGGTAGTCCTTACTATAATCCCAAGACCCGCATCTCCTAATACTTTCCCCATAGTTCAGTATATTCCTGCTTGCTGCACCTTAAACTCAGACATGCCTTCACCTCAGGGCCTCTGCCTGGAAGGCTCCCTCATTGTTGTTTTGTTTTGTTTTTTACTCAGAAGTAGTCTTCTCAGTGAGGCATCCTTGTTCATCTGATCTAAATTACAGAGCTCCCTTCTCCCCCCAAAATTAAACACAATTACTCCTTCCATGATTTATTGTTTTCCTTAACATTTATAACTCTATAGCATAGCATATATTTTACTTTTTTTTTTCTTATTTATTGTCTTTCTCCCCACAAGAATGTAAGCTTCCATGAGTTCAAGATTTCTGTCAGTTTTGTTCACAACTGTAATCCCAATGCCTAGAAAAGTAACTGGCATATGTAAAGCATTCAATCACATGAACAAATTTAAAGAATGACTGATGACTTTGGAAACTGTCCTCAGATCCTTAATTCATCTCTGTGTTGTTTTTTTAATAATCTAACTGGAACAAAAGAGAACATGGGAATTAACACTAGATGGCGCAATATTACAAAGAAAGTAAACTAAATCAACTTACTCTGTCCACCTCACTGGAATGGCTTCAAAAAAAGTCCGAAATGTTGCCGCCCCCTCCCCAGCCTATTGATGTTATGTTTGCTGAACAACTCAAACTTCACTAATTTATAACCATCTACAAAAACGTTATTCTGCCTGCCAAGTATTTCAGCTCTGTAGTGTGCCAGTACATTACCAAATTCTTCCTCCCATCCTTTGTATCTTCAACTGAAGTCACCAATACACTAGAGCAGGAGTCATCAAACTGCAGCTCTCGAGCCACATGCGGCT